GAGAGGGGAGAAAACTACAGAGGAAAAGTTGGAAACTAGCAGAGGTTGCTTCATGAGATTTAAGGAAAGAAGCTGCCTCCTAACATAAAAGTGCAGGGTAAAGCAGCAAGTGCTGATGGAGAAGTCACAGCAAGTTATCCAGAAGATCTAGCTAAAGTAATTGATGAAGGTGGCCTCACTAAATGACAAACTTTCAATGGAGAACAGCCTTCTGTTGGAAGAAGATGCCACTTAGGACTTTCATAGCTAGAGAGAAGTCAATTCCAGGCTTCAAAGCTTCAAAGGACAGGCCCACTCTCTTGTTAGGGACAAACGCAGCTGGTGACTTTAAGTTGAAGCCAATTGTCACTTATCATGCTGAAAATCCTAAGGTCCTTAAGAATTATGCTGAATCTACTCTGTGCTCTATAAACAGAACAACAGAGTCTAGATGACAGAATATCTGTTTAAAGCAAAATTTACTGAATATGGTAAGCCCACTGTTGAGACCTGCTCACAAAAAAAAAAAAAATCCCTTCAAAATACTACTGCTTAATAACAAATTTGGGAACTCATGAGCGCTGATGAAGACGTCTGGAAGATTAATGTTATGTTCACGCCTGTTAACACAACATCCATTCTGTAGTGCATGCATCAAGGAATCATTTTGACTTTCAAGTCTTATTATTTAAGAAATACATTTTGGCTGGGCGCTGAGGTGAGAGGATTGCCTGAGTCCCGGATTTGAGACCAGCCTGGGCAACTTGGCATCTCTACAATTAAAAAAAAAAAAAAGTAGCTGGGCATGGTGGCGCATGCTTATAGTTCCAGCTACTTGGAAGGCTGAGGCAGAAAGATCACCTGAGCCCAGCAGATCTGGGCAAAATCAAATGAAAACCTTTTGGAAAGGATTCACTATTCTCGATGCCATTAAGAGCATCCGTGATTCACGAGAGAAGACCAACAAACCAGGAGTTTGGAAGAAGTTGGTTCCAACTCTCATAGATGACTTTAAGGGGTTCAAGACTTAGTGGAGGAAGTAGATGCAAATGTGGTGGAAACACTGTAGCAAGAGAAGTGGAATTAGAAGTGGAGCCTGAAGATATGACTGAATTGCTTCAATCTCATGATAAAACTTATAATGGAGGAGTAGCTTCTTATAGTAGAGCAAAGAAAACAATTTCTTGGGGATGAACTCTAAACCTGCTGAAGACAGCATGAACATTGTTGAAACAACAACAAAAGAACATTACATACGCCCGGCTGATAAAGCAGCAGCAGGGTTTGAGATAATTAATTACAATTTTGAAAGCAGTTCTACTGTGGGTAAAATGCTATCAAATAGTAACACATTCTATAAAAAAGTGTTTCATGAAGGGAAGAGTCAATCAATGCAGGAAACTTTGTTGTGTTATTTAAACAATTGCTACAGTCACCAAAACCTTTAATGGCCACCACTTGGATCAGTCAGCAGCCACCAGCATGGAGGCAAAACCCTCTATTAGCAAAAAGATTGCAACTTGCTAAAGGCTCAGATGATCATTGGCATTCTTTTTAGCAAACGGTTTTTGTTTTGTATTAAAAACGATGTCTTGGCCAAGCTTGGTGGCTCAGCCTGTAATTCCAGCACTTTGGGAGGCCAAGGCAAGTGGATTGCCTGAGCCCGCAGGTTTGAGATCAGCCTGGGCTACTTGGCGAGACCTTGTCTCTACAATAAATCAAAAAATTAGCCGGTGTGGTGGCACACACTTGTAGTTCCAGTTACTTGGAAGGCTGAGGTGGAAAGATTGCTTGAGCCCAGCAGGTCATCGCTGTGGTGGCTGTGAGTGTGCCACTGCACTCCAGCCTGGACAACAGAGTGAGACTCTGACTCAAAAAAAGAAAAAAAAAGATGTCTCGTTATGCTGCCCAGACTGGTCTCGAACTCCTGGGCTCAAGCAATCCTTTCACCTCAGTATCCAAAAGTGTTAGGATTTTAGGCGTGAGCCACCACACCCACCCGCAATAAGGTATTTTTCAATTAAGATATGTACATTTTTTTTAGACATAATGCTACTGGACACTTAACAGACTACAGTGTAGTGCAAACATAACTTTTATATAGACTGGGAAACCAAAAAGTATATGTGACTCGCTTTATTGCAATATTCACTTTTTGTGGTGGTCTGGAACTGAACCCACAATATCTCCAAGGTATAACTGTAATTTATTTCTTATAACAAGTTATGAAATATATACTCTTGCTCTAATTTTATAACTGAAAAAACGAAGGCCCAGTGAGTCACTGGGCCTTATTCACACACTATACATAAGGAGTCAGAATCCGACCACAGCCAATGTGACTCTTGACCAATGTGCATGGAAATTACATTTAAGAAAGAAGTAAGAGATGTGATTTTTTTTTGGTAACGTTTTCAATAAAAAATAAGCAAGTAAATCATTCCACACAAGTCTCAATGAAGTGCTATACCATTAGTCTATTTCTCTACTCTACCACTTCTAAAACTTAGAAATAAAATATTTATACAGACAGGATGCCATTCACTCTCATTTTATAAAAATGGATACTTTATAGTCATGACAACATGAAAAAACCACCTGGAACGTGGCTCCACTTTGGCCCAAATTTCTTTTTCTGCATAACTATAGCACATAGCCAAAGGAGTCTGCTAAATAAATCTCGTATATCTGTGGAAACTCTTCCAGAAGGCAGGCTCGCCACCACCACCATCTTGGACGTGGTCCTCACCGTTCTCACAGAAACTGAGGGATGAAGATGTCCTCGTTCACACCCTCAACTCCCTTCTGGTCCTGCACTGCCCAAGAGAGGAGCTTCTTCGGTAAAGACAAAATCGTCTTGTACCCTCTGGATAGACATTAAAGAGTCTATAAGGTCCAGGCTGTCTGTGAGGTAAAGGTGAACAGGCTTCACAGCAGAAATGGATAGAAGGAGGCCAAGGCTTTAGCATTTTAGTGGGAAGAAATCCCAAAATACAACTACTGCCCTTCACAGATGAGTTTTAGGAACAGTTTAGGCATTTAGATACACCACCTAAAATATTTCCAAGGCAGTCCAGGGTTAGAGACACTTGGCTTTCTGAAGATAAGGCTGGCACCTGCCTCATTTGCTGGAACATAATGTTCCTGGAGATTAGGGCAATAAATAAAGGTCCCTAAAAATAAATGTAGGGGAAATACAGCCCAGTTTAAATGTCCATGAAGGCTGACTCAAAGCCCATCACCATATAAAGTTAATAGACTAACAGTTTTTATAAGAAAAGCAGAAATGGCTGAGGGAAACCATCATCACAGTAACTAGGCCCCTAAAGAATAAAGCAGTTGGTAGCTTAGCTGTGGCATCCAGGAAATTACTGGTTCCAAAAAGCCAGTTCCCTTCCCCATTTATAAATGTTGGCCCTCCTCCACAAGCAACTTATTTTCCCAAGGGGAAAATGAATACCGGTGCTCACAGAGCTGCATATGATTCCCTGTGACACAGCCCAGTGGCCACCATCTCATCGTCTCCTTCATCCTGACAGGAAGGCCAGGCTAAGCTACTGCTGGATGTTCTAGTACACAGACACGGTGGGTACCAGGCGGTGCCAGGCAATTGAGATGGCAGCTACTAGGCCTCCTCACATGCAACTCCTCCTCATCCCCCAGGCTCAGGGGAAGCTGGTTCCTTTAGGCAAGCCCCAAAATCCAGGTAGGAATGCAGACCACTGTGCTCACAGTGAGTCTTATGGGACACAGACCACTCCACCCTGGGGTCCACTTCAGACAAGGGAGTAATCAGGCAGCATCAGTTACCAGAAGGCCCCTGAAGGCCCCACATGGTGCTGCCAGAGAATTGAGAAGTATTATAAAGTAACTCAACTAGATTTTTGTCACTAAGTAAGTTTGTCACATGGAGGTCAGTTAACAATGCCAGGACAACGCTATGTGAAGAACTACACTGCTCCAGGTCTCCTGGCCTTCATGCTTCACCTACTGTCACAAGAATCTAGTGTTACTTGCCAATGTAAACATCTGCATTCTCCTACCTACAGTTCATCAAAGCAAAACGCCATGTCACTTTTTTTTTTGAGTTGGAGTCTCACTCTGTCACCCAGACTGGAGTGCAGTGGCCGCTCCCGGCCACCGCAGCCTCGACCTGCCGGGCTATGGCGATCCTTCCACCTCAGCCTTCCAAGTAGCTGGAACTACAGGTGTGCACTACCATGCCCGGCTAATTTTTGACTTATTGTAGAGATGAGGTCTTGTGCCATGTCACTTTTAACTGCCCCAAATCAGAAAAAATTGCCAAATGGCCAGTAGTCACTAAAGATTTGGCAATCTTCAAGAAGTTTTAAAAAAACGAGTGGTTTTTTTTTTTTCCTTTCTGACCAGGTCCTGATGGAACAGAGGAAAAGCAGGGCAAAAAATGATTTGTTTTGAAATAGGTCCTTTCCATCCCACTTAGAGAAGCAGAGCCAAGTGTGGAAAAGTTCTGTGCAGGAACAGGACTGTCCCCTCTCAAATGGGACCCTCGCCAGAACAGCCAAAGCATGCTTCTCAGTGGTCATCTGGCTCTGCCCTAGTCAGCATCCTACCCCATTCAATAGCACCACTATCTTCCCCAACTCAGCTCCTAGCAACAATACTGAGTTCTCTTTTTCCCTGGTCTGATGGTTTCCTTTAAATTAAGGAAATAAAACATGTGTCTTGTATAAATAAGATATTTTCCCCAACAAGAAATCCAACATTAATAAGAAATAGAAAAACTATATTTTTTATTTCTGTGCTAAGGAATATTTTATAAGAGCACAGTCATATGGAAATAACCTTGGCTCTACAGAGAAAGCCAGAGGTCAAAGAAGATGAGTAACTGTAAGGGCTGATGGATTCAAACCCATCTTAGTACTGGAGACTTCTCTTGTCCACCCTATATTCTGATGCAGTGAGCAGAGACCCAAGTCCTCATTAGAATGGGTAAAAACCCATGGCTTCAGTGTAGGCTGGCATGCTGCGCTGTCACTCACCTGTGCCATTGGCCAGGCCACTGTGGCTTGAGTTCTTGATGGGCTGGCGGTGCCGGCTCCTTGTACCAGGGCTTTGCTCGCTGGTTGCTGTGGTTGTTCTGGCTGAACCACCTGAATGTCTGTGCGTCCTGGGAGTTCAAAGCATAAAGCACACAGATATAAGTCACTGTGAAAAAGAAAGAAGTGTTTCCTACCTAAGTCATCATATTCCCTCTCTTGCTATTTATTGGAAATAAGACTTTAATGGCCCCTCTAGTTTTTGACTCAACAGAAGCTGCTCCAAGCGGAGAGACCCAGAGAAGTTTCCTTCTCCCTGAAAGCCCAAAAGGTAACTTTGTGTAAACTTTTCCACTTGAAGTAAACAAATGTGGAGAGAACTGCCCCCACATCTGAAATAACTGGCAAAATAGCCTGTGAACATCACATTGGTTTTTTTGGGCGCAAATGTTAGAAATAAACAAAAATTACAGACAGGCTACAGATGAAATATTTCTCCCCTTAGGCAAGAAGATCCCAAAACTTATCCAAATCAATTTTCTCTATAGCTAGCAAGATGATTCTCTCGGGAAAAGGGGCATTAAACAGCTTTAGTCAATGCATATGTTAATGTTTTATGAAGAAGAGATGACTCATCCAAGCAAATAAGGAACAATGCAGAAATGGAACCAAATCCAAACACAAGAGTGGGGTCCAGCAGCAGAAAACCCTTCTGCCATCTTCAGAGAACACAGGGCAATTGACAGCATGCATTTGCAAAAGTTGCTTTTGTAGACTGACTTTGCTCACTCAGTGAAAACAGTTAAGGCTCCCTGTCCTTCAGTTCAGCTGCTTCACCAAAGGCGATTATTCTACTTCATAAGTATATGCTACTTTGCAACTGTGAGATAAATACCACCCAGTAAAAAGACAACCCTTTTCTAGGCAGAGAAACAGAGGCCCAGGGACAATGTATACCATGTGACATGGGGTGGTAAGACAACTCTCAACAAAAATAATGACCGTGGATGTACGGAAGGTTAATTGAGCCATAACATTATGTTCCAGACACTATGTGTGCTATGCATATTACATATGTTTTTTTGAAGAGTATATCTATATTTTTATTTGGAGGAGAGGGAATAAAAAGCAAGCAGCCCCTCTACTGGGCCCTATTCAGTGGCAACTTCTAGTTCCCTGGGAAGACTGAGGAAATAAAAGTTGTTTGGAAAATCCAGGTGCAGTTGCTTTGTGTGTGATGATGGGCAGAAGGGATGAGACAGAGTGTGAGGGCCCCTCTTGTACTCCATCTATGTCCTGGAGCCCTGCGGGCCGTGCCACCTTCACTCCTGCTTCTTGGGGTTGTTGAGGCCACGTAGTGGTAGAGGACAACGAGCAGGAAGAGCAACATGGCCAGTATGTTGGTAAAGATGGCGAGCTGCACATCAGTGTTCATCCTGCCAGGCCTGGCCCCACGGTCCGCGCACTCACTTGAGAAGTACATATGTTTTCACATTTAACATGAGAAGCCTAAAGGTAGTTTACTATTATTAACCCCATTTTACAGATAAAAAAGCAGACACAGAAGTTCTATAGAAAGTAAGAATCAGAACAAAGATTCAAACTCTGGCATTTTATTTTCTTTTATTTTTTGAGTTGAAGTCTCACTCTATTGCCCCGGCTGGAGTGCAGTAGCATGCTCACAGTCACTGCAGCCTTAACCTTCAGGGTTCAGGTGATCCTTCCGCCTCAGCCTTCCAAGTAGCTGGAACTACAGGCATGCGCCACCATGCCCTGTTAATTTTTTGGTTTATTGTAGAGGTCTCACCAAGTTGCCCAGGCTGGTCTTGAACCCCTGAGCTCAGGCAATCCCCTCACCTCTGCCTCCTAAAGTGCTGGGATTACAAGCATGAGCCACCACGCCTGACTGAATCCAGGCAGCTTAACACCAAGAGCCCATGCTCTTTGGTTAGAGGATGGGGTGAACTCGAGCTGAATTCTTCTTGGGCTATTCTTTCACTGCCACTTGGCCAATGGTAAGATAAAGACTTAGAATGGAAAGTTCTCTGCTGGAAGGATCCACACCCACCAGAACATCCCTCTCGTGAGTCTCTGGTCCAGGGTGTTGGGACAGGTCTGCAGGACAGTCAACAGGAAGCTCCTGGGAGAATATAAACCGCCCCCACCAAAACCTTCTCTAGTGCAAAAAAACAAATTTTCCTGACAAGACAGACAAATATAAACCAAAACGTTCACCATGATTATCTCTCAATGTTGAGAATACACATGCTCTTTTGTGCTTGTCAAGATTTTTCCAGTTTCCTTCATTGGGCTTATATACTTTTGAGTAAGGAAAAAAAAATTTTTTTTTTAAAGAAAAAAGTTTCTCTTGGGTTGACCAAAAAAAAAAACCAAGAAACCTAACAAACTCTGGAGCCCTTCATACCTAAAGACTGCATGCGTGGCAGTTAAAGATGGAGAGTGGGTATGACTGAGCTGTGGAAATAAAGATTCAATGTGGACTCTCTTTTTCCATCTTATTTTTCCCTGAGCTAATTTCATAAATCAAAAGCTGTCAACCACACCTCAGTCAAAAAAAATATTTCAAAGTCCCCACTTCATGGGAAGAAATGTTAGTATTAAGCATTTTACCACAGCTCCTCATCGAAAGCAGAATGAGCACAGACACGTTCCAAAGGGAAAGAAAGGCAGGCGGGCCTTAGCAAATGGTGAGTGTGTGCATATGTGTGTACGTGTTGAGGGCAGAAAGCTTGAGAGAGGGAAAATTGGTTAATAAAAGGTTTGCTTCAGCCAAGAACCCCCTTATGAGGACAGAAAGCCTCTCTGATCTGGAACTCACAGCCCCCAGGAGCAGGCTGGATCCCTCAGAGAGCAGCAGGCCATATGGACCACACAGAAAATGCACCATCAACCCCTCAGATGCGCAGACTCTGACCAGTCTACGGTCACTTCCAGCCCTGGGCTCCTTGTCCCTCTGCAGAGTAGCTGGGCATGACAACAGGGTGGGTCCCATTGCTCCCTGGCCCCGCCTTCCTTTCCCAGAAAGGGCATGTGGTCAGAGTTGAGAGAGAACACTTTCAGAAATGTTTCACCACTAATGATAGCAGTTTACCCTGAATGACAGGCTGGGGCAGGGCCGGGATTAGCCCTAAACCAGGGGCAGCTGGGACCACTTTGCATGAATTGCTGCCTCCCTACCCGTGGCCAGCCACCACCCCCACACACATACCACACATACCCTTTCCCCAGATTCTCCTCTTGCCCTAAATCTGGAGTTTCCCGTTTTTTGCTCTTGTATTATCTTTAAAATAAGACACTCAGAAGGAAGAGAAGGGCTCAGCATTTGAGGAAACGCTTCTCTTCAGCAGTTTCCCTTCTTAGAGAACTCACCCAACCCTTAAAAGATGGGGTTGTATCATGATGAAAGCTGGCCCAGATGCTGAAACCACATATCATTGGCCAAAATAGCACCATGACAAACGTGGGGCGATGGGGTGAGGTGAGCTGGGTTCCACCACAGATAGCCTGGCTCAGCTCTGTCCATGACCTCAACCTTGGCTATTCCCCTCACCCTTTGGGGAGCAGGGAGGAGTTATACAGCCCACGCTCCCCCCTGGGGGGGCAGCCAGAAGGGGACCGAACAGTCATGCAGGTTGGGCCAAACTTCACACATGGTTTCAAGTCACTTCATCACAGAAATTCAGCTCTCTTTACAGCATGCCTTCCTAAGAATGCTGCCGTGTGCTCACCTAAGCTCCTCAGGAGTCAGTTAAGGCTGGGCCCACACTCCTCAAAGTTCATTCTGATGCAGAACAAGAAGGTCCCAAGGAGAGGGCTCCTGGCTGTCCTTGGCATTTAAGCTTTGACATTCATAGCACTGGCTTCCACCCTCAGCTGCACCCTGAGAGTCAGAGCCTTAGGTGCTGTGGGACATCTTGCCTTGCCCTTCGTGAAGGCCACTGAATTGTACCCAGTCAGTACTTGCTAAGTGGTAGGCCCTGTTCTAGGGCTGGCAACTAAGCAGAGGGTCCCTGACCTCAAGGAGCTTGCACCTTAGTGGAAATGCGGTGATTTATAATCCTGCTCAATACAAATTTCCACCACACCACATAATGCTGGCGTGTGCGAGCCACTTGGCTGATGAGTGAGCCTGGTTGACCACATGGCAGTGTCACCTCAGTACAACTTTGTGATCACCATCACCTGTGCAACAGCTAAACAAAATTTTGTTTCTTTGGCTCAGAAAAGGAAGTCTTATTTCACAACAATGTGAATGTACTTAATGCTACTGAACTGTACACTTTAAATTGGTTAAGATGGTAAATTTTGTTATCTACTTTTTACCACAATTTTTTTTTGTAAAGGAAAAAAGAAAGAAAAGGAAGCCAAGCCTAGCTTTGGTAACATAAGTGAAAATAAAGTGAAGAGTTCAAAAAAGTAAAGGCTCTCAAGCCAAAAATCACAACTTTTTGCTAAAATAAATGGTATTCAAAATTTACTAGTGGCTCAGAATTGGAGATCGATAAGTCTATCATACATTTTATGTAGAAATTGATTTTTAAAATATATTTCGGCCGGGTTCGGTGGTTCAGCCTGTAATCCCGCGCCTTTGGGAGGCTGAGGTGAGTGGATTGCCTGAGCCCACGGATTTGAGACCCGCCTGGGCAACTTGGCAAGACCTCATCTCTACAATAAATCAAAAAAATTAGCCAGGCATGGTAGCACACACCTGTAGTTCCAGCTACTTGGAAGGCTGAGGCAGAAGGATCGCCAGAGCCCAGCAGGTTGAGGCTGTGGTGGCCGGGAGCAGCCACTGCACTCCAGTCTGGGCGACAGAGTGAGATTCCAACTCAAAAAAAAAAGTATATTTCTACAACTCAACAATAACAACAAAAAAGACCTGATTTTAAAATAGGCAAAAGGACTTGAATAGACACTTCTCCAAAGATGATATAGGAAATGGCCAACGAGCATATGGAAAGATGCTTAACATGGCTAATCAGTATGAAAATGTAAATCACAACTACAGTGAGACATCACCTCACATCTGTTAGGATGGCTACTATCAAAGGAACAAAAAAGAATGAATGTTGGTGAGGATGCAGAGAAGTTGGAACCCTCGTGCACTGCT